CTCCCTCCAAGCATCGACCTATCCGGGGTATTTCATATAATGGAATCATACGGGGTGCCTGGCTGGCCCAGTCAGTAGAGCGTGTGGCTCTTAATCGTGGGGTCGTGAGCTCAAGCCCTGTGTTTGTCATGGAGCCTACTTTAAATTTTTAAAAATTTTTTTTAAAAAGGTGGAAAAGTAATCGGTAAATACCTATCCCATCCTTAAAAAATAACAAGACATCTGTTCTACAAACGCAGTTAAAATGCCTCCCCTTGCAGAGTCGGTAGTTGGAGTCTGAGCCACACACACATACACACACACACACACACACACACGTGTGTGTGTCTGTCTCTTCTCCCTTGGTAGCTGCTGCTTTTCCACGGGCTACTGTCCCACTGGGAGATTGTGTGTCTGTTGACGTTTATTGACATAATATGATGTTTTGGTTTTTTAACTGCCTCCATTAGGCACTCAGCACCATTCAGAGGATGTGCGAAGAGAGAGGGGCAGACACACTCTACGGTTAGCCTTGGAGATAGAATCCGAAGTACAAGCACAATTGGCCTTCTGGGGATAAACTCCTGCATGGCATGCACCATATTTTATGCTTTTTATAAATCTTATTTAGTTTTTATAACTTTTTAAAATGTTTATTTATTTGGGGGGAGCAGTGGGGCAGAGAGACAGGGCAACAGAGGATCCAAAGCAGGCTCTGTGCTGACAGTAGAGAGCCTGACGCGGGGCTCAAACCCACGAACCGTGAGATCATGACCTGAGCCAAAGTCAGACGCTTAACTGATTGAGCCACCCAAGCCGCCCATATTTTATGCTTTTTAAAAGACTCTTCCTTGGGGCTCCCTGGGTGGCTTGGTCGGTTAAGTGTCCAACTCTTGGTTCTGTCTCTGGCTCTGTGATCTCACAGTTCATGGATCAAGCCCTGGATCTGGATCTGTGTTGACAGCGTGGAGCCTGCTTAGGATTATCTCTCTCTCCCTCTCTCTCTGCGCCTTCCCCACTGGCTTTCTCTTTCTCTCTCAAAAATAAATGAACTTAAAACACACACACACACACACACACACACACACATTTCCTTTAGCTCAGAGTGAAGTTGGGGATCTGCAAATATGTTGCCGTCTGCCTCCTGCCCGAGGCTGTGCCTGGAGACTGGTCCGCTGCTTGCCCATATTTATCCAAACAAGCATCGAAGGTCTCCACCAGGCAGGCCTCCAGGCTGGGGCGTCTTCTGTCCTCTGTGACCAGGCAGGCCTCACCAGCACTTCCCTGAAGATGCAGCCACTTCCTGGCTGGGTGACCTTAGACAAGTGGCTTCATCTCTCTGGGCCTCAATTCCTCCAGGAGGTAACGGTAACCACGGAATGCACTGCAGCTTGTGACAGGCTTCGCCAGATGCCCAGCTCCTTTTGGGGGCGGGACGGCTCTGTGATTATTGTTACGACGCCCTTCTCTTCGTCCCTGGACACTTTGTTTCTGATGTACAGTAAAAGCTGCTGGCTTTTAAGGAAGGGCTCCTCAGGAAAAAAAAAAAAAAAAAAGGAAGCGCTCCTCAGCTCTCATGGAAGACAGTCCAGTGGAGACGATGAACGTGCAGATGACATAGAGGACGTATCACGTGCTGCTGGAACCCAGGGTGGGGACTGATGGGGGGTGTGGACCCGTCTTCACAGAGAGAGACTCCCTGATCTGGGTCCTGCGGGTGGAGAGCAGGAAGTGTGTGTGTAAGGCGGAACCTGATATGACATAAAGCTGAAGGTGATCGTAAGTTAGGGTTGGAAGTTAGGGTCTGTCTTCGGTGGAGGAGTAGATGTTACTTTGACCTTTGTTCCCCCCCGCCCTTCAGAACGAGCCAGTCCCAGGCCACAGAAGGAACTCCCAGAAGGAGGTGCCATGGGGACCATGGAGCTCAGCAGGGGACAGGATGACTTCTCGGGTGGGCTGCCCACCAAACCCAGCCATTCTGGGAAGTCAGGCGGCATTATCACTGGGCATGGGCTGGGTTCATAAAATAGCTTCCTGGGGCTGGAGGAGAGGCTGATAGATCTGAGGGAGGGAGAGGGGATGTGCAGGCGGCCCCCAGCCTGCTGACGGGGCTGCTCCGGGCACCTTGGGGCCTCTGAGGTTCCTGGGAATCCCAGAACCGGTCAGCACACACACAGCACACAAGTGACAGAGATAAATCCTCTGTGTGTGTGAGGTAATCAGTGAGATGATAGAGCCCGGCTGAGCTGCCGAGCAGCCCCCCGGCGCTAGGCCTGTCCCCTCTGACGCCCCTATACCCTGCACATCCCGGCAGCCTCAGTCCCCTGTGCTCAGGTCCCTTACTGTCTCAGAGTGGCCCCAAGGTTCGGCCCAGGTTTTATCCAGCCCCTCCCATCGGCTCCTGGCTTCGGTGGCCTGGTGCTTTCTTCTTCGGCAAGATGGGGCTCGGGCAGGCTGTCTCCAGAGAGGCCAGCTGCATGCCCTTTGGGCAGGGACCCATGGCCATGACTTGGGGGCCTACACAAAGAAAGAGGCTGCACTTGGGCTGGATGTGGGCGCTTTTCCCGTCTTGTCTGCTTAGGACCCCTTGGGTGATCACGGGCGCTCACGTAAGCTCCCTGAGCCTCAGTTTCCACGGGGTAATATGGGGGGCAAAACAACATGCTTGTCTGTGTGGGGCTGCCCCAGGGCTCAACATCCAGGGGTCAGGAGCCCAGGGGGAGTAAACTGGAGACAGGTTTAGTTTCTCACATCCTGGACAGGCTGCCAGAGGGTCCTTGAACTTTCTACACGGTAGGCACTGCTGGGAGAAAAGACCTCTAAGAACTAGCTTTGCACCTTTTCTTGCTATGTGACCTTGAACAAGACACTGGGTCTCTCTGAAGGAGGCTAAACCTGGGGCTTGTACAACTGCCCCCAGCCCAGGCCATATGGCATACATGACAAATGTACCTCAAATGTTGTTATTTTGACCTTTTTCTTTTTTTTTTGCAAAATGTGCAAAACATGGCACTGAGGAGCCCTGGAAGGAGCGTGTGGGTGAGGGCCTGGAGGCCACTGGCGGGCCACCATGCAGGGCCTCGCTGGGCAGAGCTGTCCTGGGCCCTCAGGATGCGTCAGCCCAGCTCCGCACACCTGGGGCGCACACACAGCCCTGAGCTGGAGAAAAGTCTGAGCAGAGCAGAGGCTGAGATGGGAAAAGAGGAATCAAGGGCTCAGAGACCCTGGGAACGGGGTCTTGGAGACAGATCCTTCAGAGATCATCAAACTTTATAAAGCAGCAAAACCACTTTTTCAAAGGAAACCCAAAATAGGAAACAGACAAAAGCAAAAAAAAAAAAAAAAAATTAAAAAATTAAAAAAAAGAGTCCTGGGGCGGTTTAATTCTTCTTTGTGTCGTGGAAAATGCCTCATTGTTTGTGGCACCTCAGCAGAGCACCGGGGGACGGTCCCAGACTTCATTTCCTTTACCAATAAAATTTTTTCTTAAGAAGTCAGGACTGACATCTGCATCTGGTTGATGGCCTCTTCCTGTCGGGGCGTGAGGATCCCATCCCAGTATTTCACGGAATGAGGACCTGCCCCTTTCTCGCGCAGGACAGGACAGGAGGGGCGGGGCTTTACACGGAGGTCGCCGGCTTCGTGAAAACTTCCTGCCTTGTCTTGAGTCTGCAGATCTGAAATCCATGGCGGGATAGCGGCAGTGGAAGCCCCTTCTGGGGGGTCTCCAGTCACAGGGTTTGACAAGCGACGACTTGTTCCAGCACCCCCTTTTACGGGGGGGGGGCAGGGTTTCTGGGCCCCTGGCCAGGATGCACCTTCTACCCTGACACATGAACTGGGCACGGACCAGGGTGAGCCAAGGCCCGGGAGCAGCCCTCCTGTCCCCTCGATGCCCTCCTCAACCCGCCTCAGGTCTGAAATCGAGCCCCCGGAACAAACCCATCCCCATTTCCCAAACCCATCCCCATTTGTGGATGAAGGCGTGGAGATCACAGAGGCTTAATTCCCCCAGCAGTGCTGCCCACCCGCCCCTCCCCAGGGGCTGCTGGCATCGAGGGAGCACCCTCAAAACTAGGGGATGGGTCCCTCAGAACTAGGGGTGGGGTCCAGAGGGCGGCCCAGCTGAGGCATCACCTCTACTTGTCCTTGGTGTGCGTGTGTGTGCGTGTGAGTGAGTGAAAGGGGGTCTGGGTTGTTAAGGACTGATGGGAATCACTCCACACATATTCACTGAGCACCTACGTGATGCTGGAGATTGTTCTAGGCTTGGGGATGCTGGGGTGATGATTATAAATACCTACAAGATTGGTGGCAGAGCAGCATTGCAGAGGGAAAGGGGTGCAGCCGCTTCAGACCGAGTCATCAGGGAGGACTTCTTTTTGAGGAGGAGCCGTTGAGAGTGGAGCGTGAGAGCCCCCAGCCATGGGATGGGAGGAGGGGAGTGCACCGGGCAGAGGGGCCAGCAAAGGCACCCAGGTGGGAACAAGATGGTATGTTCCGGGACCGTCAAGGAGACTGGGGGCTGCAGCAGAGAAAACTAGGCTGGACTAGAGCAGGAATGGTAAATAGGATTTCCTATTAGTGCCGACTCCGCCCCGCGATAGCACCTGCTAAAGCTCTGGGCCCAGAGCATCCCGAGGTCCCTTCTGGATTGATCGGCAAGGAGTGCTGTAATTGATTAGTGATGTCTGCCATGGGCGAGACTGGGCAGGGTTTTGTGCGTGCCCTGCATTTGCCGGACTGAACTTGGCAGGAGACCACGCTGGGTGTGTTCGGGCTTGTATCTGTCATCCACATTTGTGTGTTTCCCCATCTTGTTCATCAGAGTTGAGTACGGTGAGTGCCCCTGGCACAGCCCAACACCAGAGAACAATAGTAGCTAATGTGCTGCACCGCCTTGAAGTTTATGCCAGGCCCTGGTGCTCACAACCCACGAGGTCTTCATAGAAACCCTGGGGATGGATCTTAAGTCCTTTGTCTTGATGTTGAGACCAAAGAACTCATTTATGGCCCTGCAGCCAGCAAGAGGCAGAGCCAGGACCAGACCCCATCTGACTGCAAGCCCCCCGTCCTTTCTGCGGTAACAGCTGCCTTCTCTGAGCAGGTAAGGGCCCCACACACATTTGGAGACTCTGCCCTGACAGAGAATCACTTGGGGACTGAGTCGATGAGGAATCGATGCTGACTGCCTGCTTCTCCTGTCCCTTCCTCCTCCCCCTGAGCCTGCTGTCTCCAGTGAATTCTACCTCCAAACCAAAGTGAGTGTGGATTTACTGGAAGGCTCTGGCTCCCAGGCTTCCTGCTGCCTGGGTATGGGGGGCAGGCAGCCCAGCCAGAGCCTGGCAGCCTCCCCTCCCCACAGCTGCCTGCTTCTCCCTCTCCGCCCATTTCTCCTCGGTTCTGTCCCTGTGCGGGAAGCATGAGAGTACCTGGGCTCCCGTCTGGGTGACGTTTGGGGCGCTGTCTGACGGGGCTACGTTAATGAAGGTTCCCCTCGCAGGGAGGTGTGAGGCCGGGCGGGCAGGGGTGGGGGCCTGCTTGGCAGCACTTCAAGGGGCACCTGGTGAACATCGCTGCCTCAGCATGCTAGAGAGGCAGCTAAGGGCATGTCCAATGTGGGGTGGAGGGTGGGGGGGAACGTCCTGGGTCTCTGCCCCAGCTCTGCTGTTTACCAGCATTGGGAGCTTGAGCGGGTCACATACCTTCTGTCTCTCACAGAGGAAAATGGGAATTGTAGTCCTTGTCGCCAAAATAACGCCACAAAACCAAAGACCCCAAGCTCAGTGGCTCAAAGCAATGCTTATTCTTATGTTCAAGAGCTGTGAGTCAACTGCACCTTGGCTGGGCTGGCCCCGTCTCCAGGCTCCGGGCTCTGGCTGCAGATTGGGTCTGAATCTGCCCCATGCGTCTCTCGCTTCCTCTTTGGAACCCCAGCTGCTGGGGCCTGTGGTCTTCCTCTCCGTGTGGTTATTCTGGGTCCCAGGCTAAAGGGGCAGTGGCTACTGAGCAGGGCCTAAGAGGGCCCTCCCGACCACGCAGGGACAGCCCCGCCTCTGTTCTTACATCCCATTGGCCAAAGCCGGTCGCACGGTCAGACCTAAAGTCAGGGGCAGGCAGCCCGTCAGTGCCCACAGCCTTGCGTGGCAGGGGTGTGGAGGGCTAATTCTCCGACAGGGGAGGGGAGGCTAGGGAGCTAACTCAGGCCACCGCCGGGGTTCGGAAGGACGCCCCTACCAACCACACTGCCAGGGGCCGTGCCAGGTGCTTCAGGTGCCGCATCTGCAGGGTGGCCCTTCCCTGACCCCCGTCTATTTCACAGTTGGGAAATGAGGCGCAGGAGCCCGAGGCTACCCGGGCCACTGACGCTGGGTCTGAACCCTTAGCCACTGCAGTCCAGGCGCTTCTCTGCTGTGGCTTCACTAATACCCAGCCGGGCAGCAGTGCCCAGAGGCACCAGCAGTCACTCCGGCTGTGGCTGGGAAGTCCGAGGCCAGAGAGGACCATCCCATAGCTGAGATCACCCGTCCGGGAAGCTAGAGCGTCCGCTTCTCCCCATGCTGAGTGTGCGTAGCCGCTCTTTTCAGCCTCGGACGTTTATTAGGTTAGGAGAGCAGAGAGCGCCAGCCTGCCGGTCAGGATATCCAAATTCTGTCCCTGGCTGGTGTGTGATGTGGGCAGTGCCCGCTGCCACAGACCCATAGTGAATGACAGGAAAGCCCGTTTCCCTCCCAGAGCCTGGCCCGTGCCGCCCTGCCCCTGCAGGAGACGCTATTTCTATACATCCTCCAGGACCAGGCCCTCCTGGGCCCTGACCCTGGCCTTCCTGCAGCCACGGCTCTGAGGCCAGGGAGAGCCTGGGGCCTGAGGCCCAGAGGATTTCCTGGCTCAGCCCCACCAGCCGGCCACAGAGCGTTCAGCGGGGCCCCGCACCCCAGCCTGGGGCCTCTATTTCCCGCTGATCGGGGCGGGCGTGGAGGTTGGCACCGATTTTGCTGAAAGGCGACTGGCCCCGTGTCCTGTGTTTATATCAGTCCTCACCCCTGCTCGCCTCCTCTGAGAAGCAAGAGAGGAGGGCCTGTGCCTGAGGGCAGAAAAGAGAAATCATTGGTCAGTTTCCCCAATTGTAGGATATTAAGCTGGACCAAGTTGAGGGGACTGAGGGAGGTTCACTGCGGGTGGAGAAGCCGCCGTCCTCCCTGGCCCTCTGTCCTCCCCCAAAACCCCAGGGCTGAGAAACAGGGCAGCCAATGTCTGCCTCTCATCCTTGCAGGGGGGAAGGGAGGAGGAAACTGACTGTTCTTTACTGACTTCCTTTCATGTGCCTGATACTCTATAGCAATAGTTATCATACTAATATGTATAATATAATGTGTCCTTGTTTGGCCTGTAATATCACTGGCAGAGCCCTGGCTGGGGGCTCGAGGCCTAGGCCTGGGTGCTGGCCCTGCCGCTAAAAGCACACTGCCCCCTTTCCCTGAGCCCCAGGTTTCCCCGTTTGCCGAGTGGCCTGGTTGATCTCTGACACCACTCGGGACCCTGCGAGTCCGCATGTGGGCCTGACAGTTAAGCAAACACCGCAGGCCTTTTCCTGTCTGGTAGCTTGTCCTGAGCCCCCATCCCTCAGTGTCGCCATAAGGCAGACTCTTCTCTCCAGTGGTTTGGGCCAGTCTTTCCAGAAGCAGGCGCTGGACAAGCCAACCCTTCAGGCTGCTGTTCTGTGCTCCTGTGTAGGGATTTGTACCCCATCAAGCGTCTTAGGGCTCACTGGAGACCTGGGAGGAGCTGGCAGTTATCAGGAGTGAGGTTAGGTGTCTGCACTTCCGGGAGTGGGGGCGGGGCTGCAGAGACCTGCTATGTTTCACGGCGCCCGCAGGGGTCCAGGGAGCTGGCTATGTGTGCGCTCGTGCGTGTGTGTGCGTGTGTGTTCGTGCATGTGTGTGTGTGTAGGGTTTTTTAAAACTGCTAATTGTCAGGGTAAAAATATTTTCACACGTTCGCGCTCCAGGAGAGCGTTATTACTGAGCGTACTGGCAGCCTCACTGAAGTCAAATGGCCACAGTCAACATGGAAATCCTAATTAATAGACGTGCATGCCGCTCTCGGGCATAGCAGCGGAAGTAATTATCATGATTTAATTGACTTTTCTCCCCTCTGTTATGCACTCTGCTTTTTCCATTTTCTTGAGCTGGGGAGGTGGTGGTGGTTTTTTTTAACCTTCTCTTCTCCCCCCCTCCCCCACCCCTTTATACACACGGCCTCTCACATCAGTGTTCTGTTCGTCAAATCCTATTACAGTAAATATTGTGACGCCACAAATCTTTATAGTACAGGAAAGTCCGGAGCCTGAGCCAATGGCTTACTTGTTATGAGGGTATCGATTTTGTAGAGGTGCATTCAGACCCAGCATAGGTGTCTGGAAGGAGAAGGCAAATCAATTTGCTCTCACGTCTGGTTTCAGCAAGTTCCCTGGGACTCCGTGGGACAGAGGGCCACTTGCACTTGCTGTCAGGAGACAGTCAGGGTTCCAGGAGATGCAAGGGGCAAAAGTGGGGCACCTCTGAGCTCCTGGAGCCAGAAGACCCTCTGTGGAGTTCTGTCTCTGTTCAGGATCCCGCCAGGTGGCTCATTGCTCTCTGCTCAGACTAGCATGGTCTGCTAATTTCTCTTGACCATGACCATCCAGTGAGGGGACCCCAGAGTCCTCATGAGTTTCAGTTCAGCTCCACGCAGTCAATTGGACATGCCTGCTGAACCTCCCCATGCAGCCTGAATGCTCCCCCCTGCACACACACACACCAGGCCATGCCTTACCCTCCAACGGTCAAGGGACGGGCTGGTCCTTCATGGTCCATTTGGCTGTGGCACATGGGCAAGGTCGTGAGGAGCTGTGGACAGAACCTTTTGCAGATAGACGCGACTGTGGGAGGGGCCAGCATAGCCCTGGAGAGCTAGAGTCTTGGTTTGGATCTTGGTTCGGCCACTTACTTGCTGTGCGTCTTTGGGCAAATTACTTAAACTTTCTGTGTCTTCTTATCCTCACCTATAGATGATAGCATTTACTCCGTAGGGTTGTTAGGAAAGATGAAGGACTTCAGCCTTGTGATGCACTCAATAACACATTAACCCAGTGGTAGGGTCAAGTGAAGGGGCGAGACAGCTCCCAATGTCTGGTATGCAAAGGAGAATAAGAGCACCCTAGAGTTATAGACAGTGAGGAGCCCAAGCTCTGATCTAGGTTAGCCCTCTAACCTGGGGAAACTGAAGCAGAGAAAGGAGATATAACTTTCTAAGGTCAAATAACTTTGACTAATGATGTTGGGCTATTCAGCACGGAGCTAAAATTAAGACCAAGATATTTCCTTAGGACTCACAGGGGATTATTAAGAGCACTTGACTTTTAATAAGAATATTACAGATAATAAAATAAGGTGGAAGAGAAGATGAACCTAGGTTGTTTTACTTCTTTCCTCTGTCCCCATGTGGGAATTCTGAGATAGGCTCATATTAAGGTTTTAACCTTTTGAAGCACATTACCTTCATTGATCGTCTTTTTCAGATGATTCCTGTGTGTTGGGTCAGTGGGCCAGATGCCACCAATCAGCTATGTTATTTTGGACACTTAGCATCTCTGAGCCTTGGTTTCATCATCCGAAAAATGGGATGCCCATGGTTGCTTCTCAAGGACAGGGATGGTTTTGTCCTTTCCCCCATCTTCCTCTTCCAGAACATTGTCTAGCACACAGTAGGTGTCTGCAGAAATTTCTAGAAATGAGGTGAAGAGTGATCCTTCGAGGTAGTAGAGAGGGTCAGAATAAGTCAGGTGGGTGTAGACAGGCTGTGTGGACGGCTCTGCTCCTGAAAGGTGAGACCCTTTGATACAGGAACCAAGGTTCTGAGAAATCAAGAGACTCCAGTCTGTAACCATAATAGAGAAATGGAGCTCGGAAGTGAGTGGAAGATGTCGAAATGGTGACAAGCAGAGGAGACGGCTTTTTTGAGAGAAGTCTGGTTGTGAAAGGCAGGGAAGAGAGAAAGTCACGGCTGTGCATTGTGGAGGGTGTCAAGTGAAGGGGATACCAGGGGACTTTGGCAAGTTGATGAGAC